AGCCCAATCGCTTTTCTTTATTAGTCAACTCGAAAAAGCATGTACAGACTTTGCGGTTCCTATATCAGAATAAAGAAATCAATTTAAAGGGGATCGCCCTGTTTGGTAGCAAACGGCTCGGAGACGTTTTCCCCAATTATGATGGAGCTGGTGTTATTGCTCAATGCCATTTTAGCCAGCCATATCAGTTTATCTGGTATACCAAATTCAGATATCCCGGCGTATAGGCAACTACTTTTAGAGCTGTCGTAAGCGTCTTTTAATTTGACAAATAGATAGTCGATCGTTTTCTCGCGGGTCTTCTCCAAGATTTGGGAAATTGTAAATACCTGATCCTGGTGTATTTTCCTGGTCTATAGCTACACTGCTAAGGCCTAATCAGTTCATTGATGGTGGGCCTGAGTCTTTCACACAATACGGTCGATAATACCTTGTATGGTGGGGTCACCTTTCTTGTGGATTGGACAGAGACCACTTAAATTCCAGTCGTCGGGCATGCGTTCATCTAACCATATTTCGGGTAATAGTTGATGCATAGAACTTATCAACTCCTCGCCGCCGCACAGTGTATGATATCGGAGTGTCGATGGACAAAATCGGAAATCTATATAGCAATATGATAAAAATATAGAAAAATTTGGGGTCGAAGCTGATATAATGGCCTATTTGGGAAAAATAGTGCCATTATATAATCATTATAAAAAACACAAAAAAAAAATGTTGAAAAATATACGTTCGAACAAAAAGGAATGCTGTGCTGGCCAGCTCCAACTAAATGAAATTGGTTTTTGGTTTTATGGACTATTCGTGTATATTTTCGAGCGAGAAATTCAGTCTTTTGTCAAAAGTTGACTACGAAATCTTTTAGATGCTCATTTTTACAAGCTTTTATTTATTTAAATTACAATCGATGCATCTAAATTTTCAACCTTTTTTACGCATTCGACAATCATATAAATTCGACAATTTTTTTGTAAGGAAAAAATGCGTCACAGTCAGAAAAAATTATCAAAAATCAACCCAATTTTAAGGCAACTTAAAACTTGCTTTTTATTTTACTAGAATTTAATGGACGATAAACTGCATGCTCAAAAAATCGGATTAATAAGTTGAAAATTTAGATGCAACTTTGCAATTTAAGAAACGAGTATCTAAAATATTTTCTTAGTCAACTTTTGACAACAAATTTTAATTTTTCGATTGAAAATCTACAAGAAAAGGCTATAAAACCAAAGCAAAAATTTTTTGTTGGACCTAAGTAGCCAGAAAAGTATTAATTCTGTTTTTTCGAAAATTCGTTTTTCAGCGAAATTTTTGGGGGTTGTATATAATGATTATAAAATGGTGCTATTTGTCCGTTGTAGGCCATTATGTCAGCTTTCGAACAAATATTTTTATCTTATTCCAAATAGAGAGATTTACGATTTTGTGCTCTCAAAGAGCAGGTGTGAGAGTCGAATGCCGAATAAATTGGCGGTCTCTTGTGATTGCAGCTTTTCGACGTTGGGCTTTCCTTGCATTGTTGGGCGCATACTTTTTGCTGCACAGAGGCAGATGCGTATCTTGGCTGCAACAAGCTTGCGGTCCGAGTCGATATTTGGATCGCGGAGTCTACGTATTTACGTCTAAAATACTGTAAGCGTGCCTTTCATGTATCAAAACATGATCGATTGGGTTTCTCGTTTTTCGATCTGGAGACCGCTGCGTGGCTTTTTTATGCTGGAACTTAGTACCACATACTATCATGTTTCGGGTGCCAGCGAATTCAAGTAGCCTCAGTCCATTGTCGTGTCATTTTTCGTTCTCGATGCACTTGAAGTAGTTTGCGTGACGTAAATACCTACAGACCTAATTGGAAAGAACAACTTGCCTTTCAAACTCTGCATCTCTGTTCTCTTTGCTCATAAAAAACCATGTCTATTACGAAATTCTCTTAAGGAATATTCGATATTTTATGACCAATTTAACTAATGTTTATACAGGCATTAGCCCATTCAGAAACTATTTAAATTACATGTTCATACACGCGCGTACATTTCGCCAACCAATTATATTGTCTAATTTTTTCATTACTGAAATTGCTTCACACGCTCTACATTTGGCATGCAATTTATGGCAACGCTTTCTAAACTATGTTTGCGTGTGTTTTAAAATCAAAAATTTGTGTTAAGGTCAATCGAGGTGTGACCCGTTAAATATTTGTAAGGGCGAGTAATAAGAAAAAAAAAATGCGGTCAAATAACAGTAATACAGCCAGCCTCAATCTAAATTCGAATCGGTCGCTGCTGCTGTTGCAAATGTGTCACTTAGGGGTGCAGCAGAAAAATGGCGAAAGAACTTTAGAGAGCAAAAAGTGAACTGGGGAGAAGAAAAAAGGGAAGAGGGGAAAATAAGCAGATGGAACCGAAGTCAACACCTTCCTCCTTTAACAAGCAGGATTATGTAAATAAAAATATTATTTCAATCAACAAAAAAAAAAAATGCTCTAACAAAACGAGATTTAATGGATTTTGGGTGCGGTTGAGAAAATGAAAATGTTTGCCACGAAATTGCAGCAGGCGAGCCAAAGCGGTCAAAATGCAATAAACTCACATCACATTGAGCTAACTTAGCCAAAAATTGGGGTGAAATAGATTTGATTATACATTTTTATGGCTATAAAAACGGATGTGCTAGCTTTTAAGCTAAAAAGAAGTATTGATGCGTGTGATTGTCGAAAGTCTTTACGCCGTTTAATGGGACTTGCAAAAGTCATTAAATAGCCACAAATTGCCAAAGGACTGTGGGAATCTATTCATGTTTTTTTTAAAGAAATTTAGCAGCGACTTGTTAAAAGACATTTCATTATACAGCAGGCAGCCATTTCATTCGTAGCCATTAGTTGGTCGTCTTTATCCGGCATGCATGTGTATTTATGTACATACATATGTATACCAGCCGCATAGCCAGCCAACGCCCGCCTTTCGCTTGCCAAGTGCGCCAAGGTCAGTAGTTCAAAGTCAAAAGTGGACAGAGTAACTTTTCAAATATCAATATTGTCATTTTACTACCCGTTTTAAATGGCATCCGCAGGCCGTTAGGCAGCAAAAAGGGTTAATCAGTGGCCGTATTCATCTGTGGCTGTGTGTGTGTGTGTGTTTTTAGCTGTTTTCCCCGAATCTGCTTGTTTGCATGATAAACTTCCATTTTGTTGGCTTCAAACTTAACTAGCTCTCATTTTGATGGCCAATTCAATGCGTAGTGCCTCTAAAAATGTAATTTTCTTCAATTCCTTTTTTCTTTTGCTTTGCTGCGCCAGTAATGATGACATCAAAAAAGAAAAGGAAATCGGTTTTGCCATTTTCCATTCAGCACTGATTTTTCTCAATGCAGCCATGACATAAAAAACGCACCCAAAAAATAGTTTCTGCTACAGGCTGGCGAACACAATTTAGTTATTTATTCATATTTTTTTACTCAATTGACCAGACTTTTATTACGATCCAATCTTTCATCAGCATTTATGCTTTTTGATGTCTCTATTGGAAGCGTTACTCATTCCCCGCTTCCTGCATTCAAAAAAGGCATTTTTGATCCTTAAATTAAATTTTCTTTTAGAATTTTACTTTCTAACCTCGCCTTGATTTTCAGCTATTAATATTTAGATGTTGTGCAGTTTATGTCGCTTTTATGACATATTGACAGCTATCAAAGAATTTATTGCCACTTAATTTGTTTGACGTATGTATGTGTTGATGTGTATATCTGCACAAAAATATATGAATATTGGCTCAAAACTTAAGTCTCATATTTCGTTATTAAAATTGGGCCATAACATGCTATACTTGCGTCAAGGTTACTGATACGCCTACACTTTAAGATTATGGCTTTTTATTGGTGTACATTTTGAACGTCGCCCATTTATTTTGACATGAACCTATTTCATTAACTAACTTAATTAATCAGGTATAGAATTTTATTCATGATAAATTTCATAAAATGCTCTTTTCACACGATATTATCGATATTATCGGAGCTAGTAGAGACATTTATTAATTTACCTAATTAATAAACTGAAAACTGAAATTTTAGTGTTGGAGTAAATGAATTTATCGACTAGTTTGTAATAGATAGATCTGAATTTGGCTGTGCGTTGTGTTTGGCATCCGTCAAGTAAAACGAAGTTTCAGTGAATGCTAACATTAATTTCCGGGTGTAAATCCATTATTTTAATTACCCCATGGCAAATAGCTGACACTTTACGTGGCTCACTGTAATCGTCCCTTCCCGCCCTGAAGAAGATGAGATGGCAGAACACTTTTTGTGTACTTACTCCGCCTCTACAAGGATTAGGTCTGAGAACTGTGGCAGCGATATTTTGAAAGACAGAAAGCTTAGCCTTCGATTTATGAGTAACACGAAAACAGTACAATAGGCAGCATGTAGCCTGGGTGCTGTTTTCTGCATGCGTTGTTTTGTGTATTTTTTTTCCTAAAAAAAAAAATAATGATTTGATGGGTAGGGTTCCCCTTCTCGGCTAGTTGATGACCTCAGGAAGGCAAAATCTGCCATCACCGCCATTCAAGAAACACAATGGACCACGAAAAGGAAAAAACGAGTGGGCTCTTTGCAATGTCTACTACTTCTACCACGTAAGGGATTATAAATTCAGTGTCGCACTTTTCGCAAGCCGCAGTCTTCCTTCTTCTGTTACACCCAATATACTAACTAATTGGCTACCTATGATGAGAATAGTAATTTACGGTCTAGATAATCACTACCTACTGATTTGTTAATATGTTGTTAAAACCTTTTTGGAAAACTGAATACCTTCTGATAAATTTGAACTAGGAACATGTGAAAAATATAACTAAAAAAAGCTTAAAAAAGGTGACCCATATAAAAATTGGGTAATTAGTTTCAATAAGAAATACTTTCTTAAGACGCTACAAAAGACATTTTCTTACCAGTCTGACAAATATTTATAATATTTATTTGAGAAAATATTTCTTATCTTTCAGAATGACCACAAAGCATTGAGGATACAGCGAAGTTAGAACCGGTTCCTGTACATCCACTAACCACCATAAAACGCTAGTAAAATTTCGCTTAGAGCGTATAACTAAAATCGAAGAAGATAATGAACGAAATAAGATTAAAATACTTATTAAATAGTTTAATATAAAAAGTTAGGCATAAGAAATAAATATACATACATACATACATACATACCTACTTGAATACATGTATAAGTAGGCTTAAAATAAACTAGAGTGTATCCAACTGAAAGTTTGTAAAAAGAATTCATATATTTAAGATAACTAAGTAAAAAAAGAATGTATAAGAAAAAAAATTATTTTTTTGCAGCTTCAATCTATGTATGCGCCATGTATATGTGGTATGTATAAGCTTTCACGTGAAATTTTTGTTAATTAATAATTTTATGCGTAAAGGTAACTTACCCTCAATTCTTAAGTTCCGAACCAGAAATTTTTTGTTAATACGGTAGCCCAGAGGAGGCTTTGATTGGCGCGCTGATTTAGTATCACAAGAAATTCGAAATTCCTAGCCCACTCATGCAAATATAAAAAATATATATATTTTTTTTTTATTCGAATGCTGATGTACATAATTTTGTAGCCCAAAGAAATATCAAGTGACTCAGCTTTTGAAATCGATGACTTGCGGTATGAAATTTGCACCAAGTTTATTCCTAATGAATAGTATCTAGTTACTTTAAATTTTATTAAAAATGTTTTCGATATCTCTCTTTCAATCTTAAAAAAAAAAAACTAAATTAAAGTTTTTGATTTTTTTTTTTGTCGAAGTTACTAAACGATTATCTTGTTAGATAAATAATTCGTATTCCACTAAGCGACCACAAAGCTCTTAAAGAAAAATACCTAAGCTTTTTTTGAGCGAAAAAATATACCCCATGTAAAAAAAAAAACAAAAATACTATTCCGTTAAAAAAATTTTAAAATTTTTTTTTATTTTTTTTTAAGTAAAAGCTATCGACAAAAAATTCTGTAAAAATATGCTGAGCACAAAAGGTTAATGTCAAAATTCAAGAACCTCCAACTCCAGTCCTTAACCGATCACGTTGAAATTTTGCGTCAGAACTACTACTATTGGTGTAAATTTCATCGCGATCGTAAGACAACGATTTCAAAAGTTGGTACACTTGCGCAGAAATCCCCCATATACAAAAATACTGAATACACGCAACAATATTTGAAAATATAGTTATACAGTGAAAACAATAAGTAAAATGTACTGTATCTGCAGTGACTCAAACAAGTTTTCACACGCTGACTTTTTTAATGTTCAGAATGATTTTCAAGTATAGTTTTTTTTTTGTAATTTGTTTATACATGTTAACCGATTGATTAAGGTGGACAATCTACTTGTTCAGAATAAAAAAACAAACGCATGTTAGTAATTGTTTGAGTCACTGTAGATACCTAAATACATACATATGTATGTGTGTATTAAAAAATAAAAACATGTCTTCAAAACAAACAAAAATAAACCAATATCTACATTTAAAAATATTGTACTTAGCTGTAAATTAAAAACAAAAAAATAAAAAATATTTGAGTATATACATACATATACAAACAAACATAGGCTTATACATATACATATATATACATACATGTAACCGAAACAGCTAAATGGACATGTATTATAGTTACTAGCATACATACACATATACAAATAACTTCTATACATACATAACTTTATATATTGTATGTATGAATTATTTCTAAATGTGTAGCTAAGCTTCTTAAAACAGAAAAATAAGTTAATTAATGTAAATAGGTGTAAAAATAAAGCAAAAGCACGGCTGGCTTTTAAATATAAGTATATAATCCGAAAGTGTATTAAGAAGAAATGCAATAAGAATAACCATCTAGCTAAGTGTAAATGGACAATAGCCGATTCCACCAGTTATTGGACATAAGTATGGTTTTTCTTTATTTTTTTCCTTCACTTCCAAATGAAATTATCCAATACTAGTTTTTCCTCAACCGCTTAGCTGAGTGTATGAAATTTTTGTGTTGCGGCCTTGTGATCCCAAGAAGATCCCTTATGGGTTCAACTATACATAGACAGCAATGATCCTTAGATCCCATCTCTTCCACACAGGAGTTCACTCTACATATAAGAAAGCGCCAGGCGAAGGCTTCGATTGGATGGCAGAGTGGAGTAGGTAGGGCATCTTATACTTCAATGTGAACAAGACAAGTTCTGTATTTTAGGGAAAATTTTAGTTTGGCATCCCCCGCGTACAAAAAGAAAGGTGGCTATGGGGGGGTAGGGGGAGTTGTCCTGATTGCAAATATATATACTTTTAGCCGCAGGAGGCTTATAGTTTTTAAGTTATTTGTTGTTAAAGTTTGTAAATTGAACTAACCTCTCGGCGCTATTTCACACAATAAACACTATATTTATGTAGACACTTTGGCAAAATAGTTGCATTAAAACCCCGCACAATGAAATGTAAACATACTTTTTACATTTATGATGTATTTTTAGTAAATTAAGTAAGTTTTAATAATTATCACGCACCTATATATGTATACGCACATCGTGAATACAGAACCGTTGATTCAACCATGGTTTCACACTGACATTAGAAGAGTGCAGCCACATCTAAGAAAATAACAATAAAAGAGAATAGTTTTTATCGTACCCATTTTCCTGCTCAGCGTTGAATTAGTAGTAAAGGAGGGTATGGGGTTAAATACCCCCAATAAAAAAAAAACTGACAAGCGCCGCAGGCGAAAATTTTTATTAAAAAATCGCGCGATTTTTTATTAAAAATTTTCATTATTTATCAAGTATTGATTTTTATGGAAAAAGCGCCGCAGGCGAAAATTTGTAATAAAAAATCGCGCGAAAATTTTTTCATTATCAAATTAACGATGTACGTTTTCTACATTTGTGTTATTTGAACTACAATAACACCAGTAAATATTATTTCCACCCGAAAAAAATAATACCGTTATGATCAGGAGTAAGACCCCTATCGATCCTAATATTATTATTTTTAATAAGAGCAATATATGTACACTTATACTTCCTAATTATACGCACTTATTTGTGTATTTTTTAACGTATGGTAGCATACATTTTGTGTTACTGTCAGCCATTGTTATTTCTGCTTGTTTGTGAAATGTGCAAACGTTTGTGACGACATTTACAAACGCGTTTTACTTAATTAATTATTTAAGAATTGTATATTAAAGTGGAAATCGCAGGCCGGGGTTTTAATGCAACTATTTTGCCGAAGTGTGCACATAAATATTTTATTGTGTGAAATAGCGCCGAGAGGTTAGTTCAATTTACAAACTTTAACAACAAATAACTTAAAAACTAGAGGCCTGCTGCGGCTAAAAGTATACATATTTGCAATCAGGAGAACTCCCTCTATCGTTCCATAGCTACCTTAATGCGGAACTCCGGGGATGCCAAACTAAATTGCAGCCGTATTTTACAATGAGTCCATTGTTTCCAATTCACTTAAAAGATAACACCACAGGGTGTATCGAGAAATTTAACCTTCGCTAAAAGCACTACATCAATCGCATCCGCAGCCTCTCCTCAGTAGCTTCTTGAGCAGTGTGAGAGAATATCACTCTGTGTCTTGCCCCTTTTTACCTTACGCTCCACAGTGGTTCAAATTCACAGGAGCCTACATTTTTCACTCAATTTGATTATTTTTGTTTTTTTTTTTTGAATGAAAGGTAATAAAATTTGGAAGAGACCAGTAGAGCTCAATTTTGAATCTTCGTTTTCTAGTGCAAAGTGCAGAAAAAGCAGCAATTTTGAAGAAAATCGATTTTCCTGTTCCATTTAATAAATGTAACATAATAAAAACTAGTTGAAACAATTTCAGGGTTCTCCCAAAATGGAAAAAATTATAAAAAATATTAAAATGTTATAAAAAAATGTTCACCAAAATTATTGCATTTCGGTTTTTATTAAATTTTGAGCATGCAGTTTTATATGTCATTAAATTTTATTATAATAAAGTGCAAATTGAAAGTGGCTAACAGTTCGCGTTGAATTTTAACATTATAACAAATGTATATGTGCTCGAAATGCTAGCGAAAAAAAATATTAAAAAACAGCGCGACCTCTGATCTATACAACTGCATAGCCAACATTTTTCTAGGAACTCGAATTTTTTTTTAATTTCGGTGAACATTTTTTTTATAACATTTTAAATTATTCCTGTGAAATTTTTTTCGTCTTGAGGCAACCCTACAATTGTTTTCAAATAGTTTTTGTTATGTAACATTTATTAACAGGAATCGATTTTCTTCAAAATGGCTACTTTTTCTGCTCCTTGCACTAAAAAAAAATTAATAGAAACAAGTCGGAAAACTATTTATTTTAATTACATATGTTTATCTAACTCAAAACCAATTATGGAAGAACAAAAAAAAATTATGCTGTGAAAATAAGTAAAAAAAGCAGAATTAACGAAAAGTGTTAGAAATTTCCTCATTCATAAATTTCGCAACTGTACTCATGCATTCACATTTCATTAAATATGGCTACTGAAGATATACTATTTATTTTGAATGGCAAGCAGCTCGCTTTACTAAAAGTCTTACTAATAATAGATTTTTCCAAAACAAAGTGTACTAAATTGTAAAGAAGTATGTAGGTATATATATATATAGTGCTTTTCATAACTATACGACACCCGCATATTAAAAAGTTTCGACTATTTATTTTTTTTAATAAAAATATTGTTCATTATTTAGCGAAAATCATATAAATCCAAGTTTCAAACTTTGTATGTAAAAAAATTAGAAAAAATCTACAAATTTTGGTCTACTATATATTTCACATTTTTTATTAAGAATTTTTAGAAAAATTGGGAAAATTTGTGTATGCATACCGAAAAAAAAATTAAAAATTCTGCATAAAAAGTACGAAATTTGTATGGAACTTTGTGTATTTACGCATATTTCATGCTTAAATTAATATGGTTTTTGCTACAGAATGAACGAAATTTTTTATAAAAAAAAACTTTAGTTAAAACTTGTCAATTCGCCGATGTCGTATATTTATAAAAAGCACTATAGTTACAAATATAAGTATGTACAAAGCGAATACTAAAACCTATAAAATGTATTGGGGTATTCACAACAGTGTCGTAAGTGTCGTATTGTTGTATGTAGTAAACTTTAAACGCCTAAAAAACATGTTAAAGGGGTTCGCAAAGTACCATCAAAGTCGTATTTTGTATTTTCTCAGTGTTGAAAAATTGTTGGTTGTGGTTTCAAGTTCTCTAAACATTTATTTAAGCTTATAAAGTTTACGACATACAACAATACGACACTTACGACATCGCTGTGAATCCCTCATATGTATACTTCAACTTGTACTAAAATTTAACTCTCCACTTAAACTACTATAGAGTACCGCTATTGTATATATTCATGTTTCACGGCAAAGCTTTTGGCTACATTTATATTATATGTATAAACTAGAATTGGCAAACTAAAAATGAATTGAAAATGGCTAAAACACAAAATCATCGTATGTTTGTAAATACTAAAATTTGTAATTAATTGTGACTATGTACACATTGAACTCAATATTCACAGTTCTTAGGTATTAGGGTGGGTCAGTTTGCATAAAGAAATTATTAAAAACAAAATACTGAAATTTAGTGCAGCCTCCTGAATCACCGACTGGAATTAAAATTAAACAAAAAAAATTGTAGTGCTTTATATTAAAAAGAGTGTCGTAACTCATCAAATTTAGGTTTTGAGCTAACAATGCCAAACTACTCGTTATATATGGTTCATAACGTATAAAAATTTCGTGCAAAAGCTTTACGTAGTTTCCGATTGGGAAAATAATATCATAATAACATCTACATTTTCTGCAGTTTGAGAATAAATTGAAAACTTTAAACGCATCTGCTGAACAATGACGCTCTTTGGGTTACGACTTATTTTTCTTAAGTACAAAGCTAATTTCTTATCTCATTACAAAAAAAAATTTAAAATGTATTAAAAAAATCTTCGGTTATTACAACTACCCACTCTAACGCATACAAACGTATACAAAAAAAAACATACTATTTTTATGTAATTGCATCGTACATTCTATTTTTCATTTTAATTTCTGTGAAGTGTGTATTTGTAATCGCAACCAGGCTATGTTTGTAAGAAGCAAGAAGCTATCAAAAAAATGTAAGAAAATTTGGAAAAACACAATAAATAAATACATACATATATGAATAAAATTTAACGAAATAAAAATTACAAGAAAAGT